ATGGAGGATACAATTTTTTTGGCAATTTCAAAATAATGTACTAAAACATTAAAAGTAATAAGTTCAAATCTGTAGCAAATATAAATATTGTAATCATTTCTTATAAATATGATTTCCTAATGTAATTTTCCAAGATATTAAAGATCATAATGCAAAAAAACTAAATTTATTAAAAGTAATAGGCTTTATGTTTCTTAAACTACCTACATTTGTCAAAGTACTTATGAATTTTCGAAATTATTCGTCCACTAGTTTTATTGTTGGAATGAAATATAGCAAGACTTGCATTGCCTACTAAGAAAGTTAGTAGCCAGTAGTCATCGAGTTAAGAGAGATAACAGATTCGTACCTGGCACCCCATAGATCCAACCTTTGAGTGTCCAAATATATATCATCTTGATGATGATATGCCAGGGCATGTTGTTCATATAAACAGTTGGAGGGAGGTATACCGACACCCTCATGTAACTGTATTGTAAACATCCCTGCATGCACATCAATATCAGGGGAAGAAGGAAAACTAAGTAATCCCCCCTTGAGATTGATCAGACAACAAAGCAGGGGTAGACTCAATAGCAACTGGTTGTATCTCCAAAACTTCACAAACATGTGTAACTAACTGCAGAAAAGGGGCAGAAGGTGGCTGATCAGATGAGTCCTCAGGAGAGGAAATAGAGTCTAAATTCTCCCCAGAATAATATCCTGTTCCAGAATGAAAATTCAAACCAGCATCTCCCGGAGAGATACCTCCGGGCCACATGAAGGACTTTATCTGGCTCTGAATCAGGTCACAGATAGTTTCTGCAGCATTTCCCCCCCTCCCCGATTGCTGACCACCACTAGAAAACAAAGGAGGAATAGACGAAGGCTGAGTAGCTTACATGCTTGAAACTGTTACACGGAAATTCATATCCAATTTTTTTTTGTAGGAAAATACAAATTCAACAAAATATATCTCTAGATAAAAAAAATGAAGAAATTCCCAATTATTAGAAAGTGAAAACTAAGAAAATGTAAATCACAAAATGATAGTGTGAATGCTCACGCTTTGTCAAGAAATAGTGATTTTATTGTCTACATACAGTACTTATATACAGTACCAACATAGAGGGAGTGTGAAGGCCGGCATAAAGTTGTGCAAATTAGATTTGCCAAGGGTAGTGAAGTGGGTTATATAAAGACTGGAACAAGTGAACACAACCTTAGATGGCAAAGATGAAGATCGAGAAATAGCTATTAGTGTCAGTGCAGGTATGTATGTTTTGGAACAACTAAGTAATGTGTTATGTACTGATTAATTTGTAAAATTTTATTATAACAGATTCTTGTCTTTGTTGTTTTTTATCTACTAAATACAATTAATGTTTCATATGAAACAAAGATATCAATAGATGAACTTATATTAAAACTAGTACTATCAAATTTCCTGATTCAATATATTCTAAAGCTCATATTAAAACTAGTACTATCATTCTAATGATTCAATATTTTCAATGTTTGTATTAAAACTAGTATCACTGTTGTCATGATTCAATATTTTTTATGCTCATTTTTCAACATGCTCATTACTTACTTAATTAAGGAAAAAATTGTAAGTTTCTTCTGATTATCTCTCGCTTTAGTTGAATATAAAACATAAAACAGGCACTTCATGTGATAGAAAAAGACTATTACTCACAGATAACTGACTACAATGCTCCTTGGTGATTGAAAGCTTCCAACCTTGTGTCAAAGTATAAAACATATTTTACAGTAATGATAAGGTCAAAACCAACTTTATATAAATATAAAATGCATTAGATTTTTCCCATTGCTACTGCAGCAACATCAGTTACATACAACGTTTCCTATTGTTATTGAATCAAGTATTTATCATTCTCTTCTCACTTTAGTTGCTCTTTTATGATTTCAAACAGAGATATCCAAGTCACAGGTAGGAAGTCTAGTCTTTGTCTTGGTTCTCATATACATGTTTTTGTTATTGTTTATGGAACTATATCGTAGTTTGAAAATATTTCTATAAAGACAAAGACATTTGAATCATACTACTTACCATTATGCTCATCCTTGTAGATCAATATACAACTCAAAACCGACAAGAGCAGAACAAAAGCAATCACTAAGGAAACTACAATCATCCAGATGGAAGAGGTGAAATCTTGACTTTTAAACCGGGTGAAATACTCCACGAGTTCTAAAAAATGTATCATACATTTATAACATTACAGAACCAGATGACAACTAAAGATCACCATGAAACTGTCATTCACTAACAAATATGATTTTCAAACTATTTCATGGTAAAAGAAAAAAACAAATAGCAATACCATTTATTTATCAACGTAATTAATAATATCAGAAAAATGTAATGAACTTTATTATTTTTTAAAAAATATTTATAATCGATTCAGTAACTGTGACAAAATAACGTATATGGTAGTGACTTACAAAATAGTAATAAAACAAGTAACAGCAACAAAAATAACCAAATACCACAGAGATAAAATTTTACCTCTAGCTGCATTTAACGACTACAATCAGATTTTATAAACTGCCATAATACAACTGATAACTTGAAAGTTTTTCCATTTAAATATCACAATAATAATAAAAAAAGGGATCCATATTATTAATTTTTAACTTACAAATGAATGTGAGAGTGTTCCATTTATATATAAATATTTCACACTGACACTAATATGCACAATTTTATTGCAATCACACAAATGAACAGTGTCTCCAGCCTTATTATTGATTATAGTTTTACAAGATGCTACAGAAAAAACAACTATGAATATTTTACTGAAACCTGAACAATAATAATAAATGCAGTACTGAGTATGTCACAGAGTAGTTTTAAAATTAATTCCAGCACCTTCAGTTTTTTTGGCATGAAGAATTTCTCCAAATCCTTCACTTTCCACCATTTAAAAAAATCTGGTGTTTTACAAATGTGAATCATAATTGAAAAATAATATGTGCAACTTATAGCACATTAACAGGAAACTGCCATGTTGAGGATTCATCATTTCTTGAGTTAGTTATTCTTTATTGTTTCTTGAGTTTGCTGTTGTACTTTATCTCTATGTGATTTTCTGCAACTATTTCAGTGAGTTTTCAAACAGTAGATGATTAATTACCATAGTAGATTTCTCTACTCTTGTGAGTGGTGATCTATCCTACTGATTTTTGTATTTCACTGAAACTGTGTATGTACTTTAATATTATTTTATTATTATTGTTATCTTTTTTTTTTCACAAGCCTACAGCAAAATCAGCTAAGTATTTTGTACCAAAATCTAGACAGATATACTATATTAGATGCTGCAAATATCCAACACGTATTTAAAAAGTAGATTTTGTTTCATTAAAAGTTGATTTACTTAGCTAGAAAAACAGAATATATGCAATGTTGTTATGAGGAGGTTCCTTTGTACTTGATGCTTGTTAAACGTGTATTTACACAAAATATCAGGCACAAAACTACCTGGCTCAGTAAATAAGGGTTGGATAGAAAAAAAGCCAATGCGGCAGTTAACTGTTGAAAAAATATAACATTTAACTGAATACACATGAATGTATATAGATTAAAATTTATTCTCCATAAATGGACATAAAAAAATTGGGGAAAAAAGGGGGAATAGGGGTCATCAAAAAAGTACAGAAACAAGTTGAATCAAAATGCAAAGATTATATTTTCAAGCCTATAACTAGGGACTCTAAAAAAATATACAAACTAGACTGGAAATAGTGTCTACATTATTTTCTTAAGCTACAAATCCCATTTTGACTCCACTAAAGTTGATAAGTACTGTAGACATGGAGTCAAAAGATTGGTTATAAGTAATATAGTACTGAATATCAGAGATAGCTTTGGCAATTTCTGAGAGAAAAAATGTGACATGTGGGAATGGCAAGAAGGGTCTGATTGTTTATTTCATGGCTCTGTAACCAAATAAGATTGAAGGCTAGGAAAATTATGCTTTGCCTGAGTAATGGTGATATTATAATTAGTAATTTACATTAAATTTCATACTTCTTAGAGAGGTAGTAAATGAATTACATTAGAGGGAATGCCTAGAGAGCAAATGTCACAATTCTCACACTAGAGGAAATTCTATATATTTTTTTGATACAAAACCTTGTCGAAACATTGTACATTTGCTGTTATGTTAAACTTATATTAACGTTTTTCTTCATTAACCATTCAAGCCATCTCCAACCATTATTCAAACTTGTATACTATTAACATATGGATTATTAGCTACATTTTAGACTATATTTATTGGTATAAACTGCTGTATGTGTGGAATAAAATTCAGCTTATTTTACAAGTTCTAAGCACTTAGGAACAGTGTGATCTCAACTATTAGCTTTACATGATGAAAATTTTAACTTGCTTTAAATGGTCCATCAACTTATGTTATTAAGGGCAGTTTGAAGCTGCAACTCAATAAATCTTATATTCAATGACTAACAGGAAACCTGTAATTCCTCCACACGGAGGCTGTTTATAAGTATTGAAAGAAATTGTTCAGTGATGGCATTGATCTTAATGCTTAAGTGTGTGATCCTCAAGATGTAACACTGAGGTATTCCATGTTTCTATGTGAAAGATCGAGATAATGTTTATCCCATGCAGACTTGGAATGATTTACCTGCTAAATAAAACTGGACAAATGGCCACAAAACCCATAAAATACCAAACCTCCATGCAATGTCATAAGCCTTCTCAAGCTAAAAAAATACAAAAACAAGACATTCTCTTTCTTAAGAAAAGCTTGCTTGATTCACATTTTTGAAAGTCAAATCCAGTGGTTTCTGGTGGATCTCTGCCTACAAAAACCATACTGGGTGTTGGAAAGAAGACCGATTGATTTGAGGAACTAAACAAGATCAACATTAAACATCCTCTGCAAAACATTACACAGACAGCTAGTCAAAATAAAGGGTTTATAATCAAAAAGGATCCTTCTCAGACTCTGATAAAAGGATGACAACAGTTTTATGCTATACGCTAGAAAATGCCTCCTCTTGACAGATTCAGTTAAAAAAAAGAAATAGAATATGGCTTAGTGAAGCAGTAGATAGATGATACATCTTGTAATAGACAGAATCTAGTCTGATAGATGTATTACTGGACTGATAAAGAGTTATTTTGAGTAATACTGAAGTTAATTGTCTATGATATTTTAAAATGTATTCAGGCCAAAAAAACAAATAATTTGGTTCACTCCTTTCTTTGATGGCCAAGAATTCAGGGAAACAGGTATAAATGAAATAATAATGAGAAAGGCATTCTCGAAATGTGTTGGTAATTCCTTATCAATCAGTCACTTCTTGGATGTTGAGTTGGAAGATCTAAAAGGGGAAGGGATGTATACTTCCCATTCATCTTCACAAGCTTGTTCTAGAAAACCTTTGCAAAGAAAGAGATGCTTGAAGATAATCTGGTCAAAGATTCTCTTTGATGTTGTCCAACTGCTAGATCCAGATCTAAGCCTTTTGAAAAGCTATGAGGTTGATATGAAGAAATTATTCCACATTCTTTTCTAAGCAATGCTTATTTCCTAACAGATGGGAATCCATCATGGATAAAGATATAATGTGATATGTGTCAAAGTTTTTAGGGGATGGTATATGCAGTTACAGTGAAAACATTACCTCTGTTTCCACACAGTCATTAATTGATGGTATGTTAATTAACTTTTTCATGCCTATGTAGGTGCATTTCACCTCAAGAATCTTTGGTATATAACATTAAGTATTTTCATTTGGAGAAAACTTGTTATATATTTTGCATTAAAAAAAACATTAATAAAATACTAAAATTGTATGCATCTCATGTCATCTATCTAAAAGTAACACAAGCAGTAATGATTTGGCTAAAGTGTACTGCTTGATTTTAAGGAATGTGATATAATCCGATCCAAGATTTGGTTAATTAAGTTACATCAACATTCACCAAGTTAAATTAAGTTTTTTATTGAGAAGTTCATTACTTTTATTAGAGCCTTCATTGCATACCCGAATATTTACTTAGTTAAATTTTGTTTTTTATTGCAAACTTTCAGTCCTCTTACTGGAGCATTGTTCAGTTCGTTTGCCCAAGAAAGGCTCCAATAACACAGTTCCAAATAGAAAATAAATTCAAAAATGTGATGTTGAGAATGCCATTGCATGTAACCTATTCTAATATTAATACATATATATCATAAGTCTTAAACAACAACAAGTCCACATTTCATAGTTTTTAGTGACCTAAGATTTACATAATATCCAACATAAATACTTTTTGTCCTTCATATTCTTAACACTTCTTTAGAAACAGATGGAGAACTAAATTATAGTTTGTTCAAAATCAAATGAAATTAAGTAGGTTTGGTATGAATGGCTTAAGGTTTAAAGCTTTTTCAAACAATAATTCTTGACATATACTAAATGAGTCACATTACTTTAATATCAGAGCTTACATACTAATAACAATCTATTGGTGACTCCTACTCAATTAAAACCTGTTGTCAAGTCATTATGAGAACGAAGTCTCACTCAACAGAGGCAGTTTACTTTGGTGAATGGAAATTACTACCTGAATGTAAAAAAAGGTACTTCTGTTGACTCTGCCCATGCTCTCATTCTTCTGTTATTCCAAACACTCCACTACTGAATACATGGGTAAGATAGTTAGCAGGTGAAAGCATCTTTATACCAATGCTTTCTTGTCCTTGCTGTGAGCAGGCAGCTCACATATTCTGACCTCTGTACAACAGGTACTGCTTTCTGTGTATACTCTAATTGCTGCACATGTAAGGTAAGTAAACAGTGAAACTTCAAAAACACTATTGTAGTTTTAGTACACTACACTATACATGTACAATATTAATAATGCAGATAACTTGTTCTGATTGAAAGTTAATACTAAAACCTAATATATCTATAGTACAAATTATAATAAAATGTCTCCAATAAGGTTTTACTAACGGGGAGGATCCATGGGTTTAACTGTAGCTGCCTGTACAGTAGAAGCCTCTCCAGGTCCTAGTCTATTGGTAGCCCAAATTCTAAACACATACTCTGTCCCTGGCTGTAGGTGGTAAATAAAGAACTGTCTCTGTGGCAAAAGATAATGAGAAAACTTTCTCTAGTTTTTCTTCACTGAACATTTAATAATACTTTATTTACCAGAAAAATGTAACTAAAGATTAAAAGACTGAAGTGTCAAGTAGTTTTATTCTAAAACTGCACAATTATAACAAACTCTGTTTTATACAATATGTATACAGTATGTTCAAAACTGTATCCTTCTGTAATACTTATTTCTCAAACATATGAATTATAAACAAACAAAAATTTGTCTGAAATTTAAAGCTTTTAAAAAACAAATTAGCTTTAAAGATACGAGTAAAGTAGAAAATACAATAAAAGAAACAAATTTCATTAAGAACAACTTGTTTTCTGCATAATGTTTTAACTCATTATAAAACTTGCAACAAACTGATTAATGAATGACAAAAACTAAATCAAATTTATAAACTCTTAACAGTATATATATATTTCTCAGCATAGAATAGTAGCAATCCAAAAATGTGAAACTCACAGTAGATGGACTTATGTGTACAGGAAGTGGGAGATGCCCAGACCTATTGCTAGAAGAAACCAAGGGGTAATAAAGCAGAGTAAAATGTGTGACTGGATACCCTCCATCACTAGTAAGATGCCAACGAACTGTGGCAACAACTGTTGATGGATGTACGGTCACATTGGTTAGTTTGCCTGGTGGGGCTATAAAAACAAAATGAAAAAAAATCAATCAGAATACACTCAAATACTGGCACAACCATTTTTACTTACTATGCCAAACAATCAGAGAGTACCAAACTGATGAATCAGTTATGTCTGGACTGTAGAATAAAAATTGTTCAGTTACTTCTTAATACCATTTTTTGTCAGTCCACTATATCTTTTTGTTCATTGTTAAAAAAACAAAAAAAAGATGAGTAGTTTTTAGTTTCACATAAGTCCACGAATTGACAACCCTACTAAACCTTCACACATATAATAAACATGACATATATCTACAAACTTTTACTGCATACAGTTTGATTTCCATACATAATAGTTGATTTTTCTAACTTATTAACGCTATCAAACACTGATTTTAATCAACTTCAAGTATTTATCTTGATCCATGTTATAGTTAATAGTTTGTGTACAGGAAAATATATCTCTAAGTAAAACATTTAGCACTGAAAAATGTTATGCTTTGAAATAGTAGTGTTCACACGTCTTTTAGTTTTAATTATTTACTATAGATCTACTTTCTATTGTGTTATAATATTTTTTGTTATTTGGTACAAGTTCTTTGATAACTTATTATGTATATGTACAAATGCTGGTATTTATTTTTTTTACACCTGAAAAAAATATTCATAAGACAGTATGCAAGGAACTTATTATGCTAATATTTATCCAAGAGCAGGATAACTCCAAGTTATCCAATAACAATATTGTGCTAGTTCTTGTAATGATTAAACAGGTGGCTAAAGTGCTTCAATAATTCTCTAAGAGAAGACTAACTACAACCAGAGTATATTTGTAAGACAGTCTTTTAAAACAGATTTTCTGTCATTTTAATATTAGTATTTTAAACAGTCCTGACAATCCACATAAATTAGAATTCTCATATGCTTAGTGCAGACTGTAACCCAGGAAGAGCTTAAATATAACTTAGTACTGAATTTCAATAAATGTTTACAGAATTTTCCATCTTTCAGCTAATTACTTTTACATTGCGATAACTCTTATCTTAATACTTTCTCCACAAAAACTGAGTGAAGGCTTTTGTTATCTAAGCTTTCATTAGTTCATACAACTACAATGTGTGTTATTAAAAAAGGTTATATCATTAGATTTTACAGATTTATTTTCAGTAACAAACCATAAGTTATTTATGTTAAGAATTGTATATGGGGGGTGGCAAGGTCTACCATCTCCAATTCCATGGAGGACAGCATACATACCTACACATAAATTCTAATATATTTATAATTTCCCTAACTTGAGTTTATGGTACATAATAGTCACTCATTAAAACTAGATAGTTTTTAAAATGAATGTGGTATCTTGTTTTTTTTCCTGATTTCTTTTATGTTTTGGTTTCTAATGCATCAAAACAGGCCTAAGCTGCTATTCTAACAGTAATAATGTTTGGAACATGGAAACACTTGAAACATCTTAGTATCTAATTGCCAATGGCATATGCACTTCTAGCTTGCCTATATATACACACTTATTTTGCATCTGCCATCCCTTATAGTGTGACTTAATGTAAATGTCCCACATAAAAGTGGAATTGATTCTGCCATAAACAGAACTCTCTTTCACTTCTGATATTTACCTCAAAATCAAACAATGTATATGTACTACACAGTATCTTACAACATTATTGAAATAAACTACTTTTTTTGCTAACATTTTGATTATGGTAAGTCAAATAATGTCATACTGATTGATGTTGTTGTTAAATTTAGTGCAATATGCATTAACCATCCCTAATTCAGAAGAGATAAACTAAATGGAAGACAACTATTCAACAACACCCACTACCATCTCTGGGGCTACTCTTTAGTAATGAATAGTGGGACTGACCTTCACACTATAACACCCCCATGGCTAGAAGGGTGAGCATGTTTGGTAAGGATTTCAATATCGCAACCCACAGATTACGAGTCAAGCACCTTAACCACCAGGCCATGCCAGGCCTTATTTTCATTAACTATTTAAACAAACAAGAGGACCTACTTCTGATAATCAGTATTGTACTGAGTGTTTGATGGCTATGGTAACTGTCGGCCATGCAAGTGTAGTTTCCTGCATCCACGGCACTCAATCCAGCTGACACTAGTAATGTGTGGCCTTGTTTTGGTTGCCAACTAAGGTCAGGTGTTAGCCGTTGCCCATCTTTCAGCCACGTCAATTTTGGCTGAGGATACCCACTCACCTTACAATGTAGAGTTAATCTGGAGCCTAAATCTCCTTCAGTGATTGGAGGAAGAGGCTGCAAGACTTGGATAGCATCTGTTAAGAAAATAAAATAAAGTGTAAGCATATACATTTAGTTACATAATTTGTAAAGTGGATTTCATCACTCTCATCCAATAAATGTTTTGCTTTTATACACACTTTCATTAGTTTTCTTTTTGTGTGCAGTCCAGCATTTCATATTTACTTTTCTCAAATCATGTTTCATATCAAGAATTTGCCAGAACCATAACACTTAATATATAATTTTTCAATTCTTTCAGAGTTCAATAGCTTCATGCTATTATAACCAGTCTCTATCTCTCCAAAATCTTCAGAAATTCATTAAAATCCACTTTTCTAAAGTCAGGTACCTGCTGAATAATATTAACAACTACCTTCCATTAAAATATCAAAACTACAAAGAAAGATCTCCCATTATGTGCAATTTTGATTCTCTACCTTAAGAAGGGAATTGAGTTGTTCTGAAAATGGCTACCAAGATTATTTTGGAAATGGCTGGGCTTTCATATGAGAATATGTTGATATTCTTAACTTGTTCTTTCTTGAAAAAAAAAAAGAATCAGGGATGATCTAATAGAAACATTTAAAATTATTAAAAGAATTAATAAGATTGATAGATCAAATTGTTTATATTGTTATCTGAAGACTGTAGAACAAGAAGTCATTAATTTAAGATTTGGAATGGGTCTGGTACATCTCCAGTAGAGGATGTTTGACTTCTGTGATCAATCTGTGTAACAAACCGACACCTAGTGTGTTGGAGACTGCAATGTTATACAAGTTTAGGAAAAGGGGTGAATTAATATTTGGGGAACAGGACTGGATTTAGTGATTATTTTTTTGTTTGTTGAGGGAGGACAGGAGTCAGGATGACCCTGGATGAGGAGTAGATCCCTTGATATCCTATAATTTACAAACATTGACTAAAAAAATTCATACCTGACAGGCCAAAATTCTTCTTGATGTCCCACAGTTTATAAATGCTGACTAAAAACATAAAAAAAACCTAACTAACAAAGATTAGTAATGTGAAATGTGAGAAACAAAAGATTTTATTAGGTATATCAGGCATTAAATAAGCACAAAATGTTTTATGAAGGGGGAAAAAAATGTTTCTTACATCCATTTCATCTTAAAAGATAGTGATCTACCATAGATGTTAAATGAAAGCAAATAATAAAATGCAAGGTATTCTATAGGAGGTTAACTTGATATTTTATGCAAGTTCAGCGGCTTAATTCACATTATTCAAAGTAAGGTTTAGCCAAAAGTTATTAAAAGCATTAAGATGGCAAAGAGAACAACTCTTCACCTGGCTACAAATAAATATCAAACACATGAAAAAATAACAGAAAGAGTGTATATAGTACAAATTGGTTTACAGCATTGGAAAGTTGAACAATCTTGGTTATATTGTCAATAAAAAACAACATTTAACAGGTATAAAAGTAATCCAAGAGTTGATTTAGAAAACTGGAACTTAATAAAATGCACTCAGCATAGTTTAGAAGAAGGCTGTTTTGTCTCACTAACTTGCTAAGGTTATTATTTGATAAACTCCAATATTTCTAAAAGACAGCATAGCTGTTTCTCTTGACTTTTGAAAAGTTTTGATGAATTTCTACACAAATAATTAAAAAGTTAGGTTCTCATAACATATATGAATAAGAGAGCAAAATGGACTGAAAATTGACTTATTGGTTGTAATGAAAAGTTAGCAACAAGCAAGTATCTTTCTGGTTGAATAAATATTACTTATAAGATTTTCTAGGCCCTCTTTATAACTTTTTTTTTGCTTCTACTTTATGTAAAATACTGGTAACAACAGGGTTTTAAATTATCTAAACTAGCCTGAATATGTCATGCTGTTGGAGAATTCTGATAAATAAGGAGAATATTGTTTTTATTAAGAACAAATGCAATAGGATTAATAACACAAAAAGAAGGTTTAAAATGTTTAGTACTACATAAATTGATCTTCAAACTAGGTCACTGCAACTTAAGGTGAACAATTTGTATTTTAAAGAAATATTTTTTAAAATCTATCATTAAGTATAATAAAATAATAATTATCGTGAGATAATATAGTGACTGTCAAAATAATATTGAAAAATACCAATGAATGACATAGTTAAAAAACACTGTTTGCATATACTAAAGATTATAAGGTTAAAAAAAAAGGAGGACCCACATACGTCCCAAACTTAGCCTTTAATAGAAGTATTTTATATTTCAGGATTAATTAAGCATTTAATGGTAAAAATTAATGTATAAGTATGTGTACAAACTAGAAAATCCTAAACTGATTCTTGGCCGGAACTTTCTCTCTTAGGAAAGCTAACAATGACAGATGTTGTGGTCTAAACTGTAATTCAAATAATTTGATGTGATTATTTGTTGAGTATAAAATTCAACAAGCTAGATTTTGGAGGTTTGGTGTATGGATTAACAGCTAAATGTCATATTACTAACTTTTATGTTTTTGTTTAATTGTTTAAAGAAATTGTAGTTAAGAAAATTTAATTCATTAAAGGAGAATTTAAAGCAAGTTGTTTAGTACATCGTTGAGCTATAAACAGTACTCCTCTGAATTAATATCACAAAAACAAATAATGTGACAAAAAGCCTGTCTATTCAGGTTACTCTACCATTCACTCAAACAACCAATCCAACCTAACTGAAGCCCTTTTCTTGAACATGTTTAAATTACGAGTATACACCATTACCTTTAGGCAAAATACATTGGCCAGTTCTTGCCCACTTTTAAACATAATTAATGAAAGCCTTATAACAGAGTTGTTAAACTTCAAATCAGTTGGGAGCCAGAGAGCAGCTTAGAAATCTACTCATTGGCCAAGTTTCTAACATTTTAATAATTTAAAATCATAGCTTCTATAATACTATAAAATGCTGAAATATGTTACATTTGTCCACCATATGTTAAGAGCTAAATAATAAATAATGTATTAAATTAACAATATTTTACCTCTTTTCTAAATATAAAATAATAACTTTATATCAAAAACAGAAACCCTAAAATCCTAAGTAACATCTCAGAGAAAATTATGATTAATAATACATAAACAATGAACTGTAGCAGTTATATTAAACATCTCAAATACTAATTATTTAATTTGTTTGTTTGTTTTACTTACACAAAGCCACATTGAACTATCTGCTGTGTCCACCACAGGGAATCAAACCCCACATTTTAGTGTTCCAAGATTGTAGACTTACTGCTGTCCCAACAGGGGACTGTCATTTAATTTTAATATCACAAGCTAAGATATAGAATTGGTACAACTTTCTTATAAACGTATCTAGCAGTACATCTTTTAATTTTAAAAGTTAAAAAATCCAAGTGCGTGTGTTTTCATTTTTATTAAGTCTGAAATAATTATAACCAAAATTATTATGCTATAAAATATAGTTTTTGTTTTTCTGGAATAATAGGTAAAATGTAAATTTATTTACATGTTAATTTCATATATGCCCAACACACAAGAGAAACTGGCTGTAAACTATTTTATACCTGAGGCTGAAGAGGTTTTCTCTTAAAAAACCATTTCAGGTTTTATTTATACAGATTAGTTCTTAAATGTCAATTACTAACAGTTATTCTGTCTAATGAGAATAAAATTAATTTCATTTTTCCACAAGAAAAACTTCTGAAATTTACCATTTAATTCCACTTATAAATTTTAATTGTCAAAACAACAATTAAGATAAAAATATATCATCATACATTGGACAAGATTATTCAGGCAAAGATTAAAACTAAGTAAATGTATAATTTGTTTAAACTGCATTTAATTTTCAGGCGGGTGTTCTTTACAAATCAAAATAATGATTAAGGCTTAAGCGTATTTCAGACAAGCTACCTTTAAATTTACTGCACAAAAGAAGCACAAATTCGTTTACAATTTGACTTATCAATTATAATTTGTATTCCAATTTTTACCAGGTCTTAGGAAATGCTGCTGATGAAAAGTGTCACTTTTCGAAGACATAACTGTTGTGTGCCTAATATCAGATTTAATGGCAACAACATAATTATGCCTAAAACTAAAAGAACTGCTAATAGTAAAGCATATAGCAAACTTGAAGAAGAGGAAAATACGCTTCTCAAACACTTTACAACCGACTGTTGGCATTGCCTTATTCACACGACAACTCTTTTCGACGAAATGACAACTTTTACAAATACATAACTAAAACTTAACGTATCCAATATATCAACACTTCTTAGTTAGTGTTAAAGTACATTCATTTTAAATAGATTGTCCCTATTATTCCAAAAAGCACATATGATACATTGTTTAGAATAGCACCCTCGAACACAATGAAAATGTTTAGAAAGGGGGCGTTATTGTATTAAAGTTCTTAGTTAATATTAAAATAAATGCGCAAATAAGAATACAGTTAAATGCCTGTACATGTTTTAATAATCGTTCGAAGTATAGTTCATTAATAATTTCTGTATCTAGTAAAAAAGATCTGCAATGATGTTTTATTTTCTTTGTCAGCTATACACACAATTTCAATCATTTACTTTCGCTAAAAAAAATTACATCCCAGAACAATGTTGTTTGTACAGAAAAATGTTTCTTCAGTAACCGCAAAGCTTTTTTATGTTTTATTGTCCTTGTTGAGAAACCAACTAATCCATTATATTGCTTTTTTATTTGTTGCATATCTGTCTTACAGTAGATTCTAAGGCAAGATGTCTCCCCGAAACGCCTCCAACGGTAATAATAATATCAACTGATTAAAACATTGGAGACAAACACTTAACTATTAATTTTTCTTTTATTGCATAATATGAAACTAGTGTCTTTTTAAAAAACTTCTGTTTCTACTTATCTAATAAAGGGTTTAAGTAAGCACTAATCAGAATTTTAAACACCTCTTATCTGTTATTGGTTGCTACTGTAAAGAATTTTTTCAACACACCAACAAGCCGGTTTCGATACAGAAACCGTTCCAAAACTCTCGTTACCTTGGTACAAGATATTATGCTACAACAGTTTCGGCGTATCCCACATATCTTTTGTTTGTTTGTTGTAAAGCACAAAGCTACACAATGGTCCGTCTGTGCTCCTCCCACCGCGGGTATCGAAACCCGATTTATAGCACCGCCATAGAGCTAAAACATAATGATGAGTTAAATGTCTGCACGATATTGCATGTGAAAGTCACACACGCATAAAATCAAAAACTTTGTGAAGCCAAGTCTGAGTTATTACATTTTAGTTCAAACGAAATTTCGGTAAGGCTTCAATGAACAAAGGCAGTTACCTGAAACGTCGTTTGAAATATAACATAGTTATCAAGCCATTGGTTTCACTCCTTTTCGTTTTTTTTATGCATGCCAAAAGCATGAAAATTCTTATTAAAAAAAAAGATAAAATAATAAACAAATACAAAACTTTTTCTTTATGGACATAATTGACTTGTGATATTTGAATGTTATTATTTCATTAGAAAACCCCAAATATAACTTAAAATTGACATCATATTATTTTTCTTTACAGTAAGTTGACAAAAAAATGTTATGAAGGCAAGTTTAGTAAAAAAAGTTAGATCTGTTATTGCTAGCAAATTGTTATACCAAAATGTTTTTCCATGCCAACAATGTAAACAATATATACATATATTAAAACAGAACGGTAATACTAGTTTAATATAATCACTACAGAGGTTGAATATGTTATATTAAAACTATTTTGGAACCTCACCACGTCGTTAAGGGCCTGGCATGGTCAGGTGGTTAGGGCGCTCGGCTCACAACCTGCGGATTCGAATCCTCGTCCCATCAAACACGCTCGCCCTTTCAGACGTAGGAGCGATATAATGTGACGGTCAATCCCACTATTAATTGGTAAAAAAGTAGCCCAAGAGTTGGCTGTCGGTGGTGATGACTAGTTGCCCTCCCTCTAGTTTTTCACTGCTAAATTAGGGACGGCTAGCGCAGATAGCCCTCGTGTAGTTTTGCGCGAAATTCAAAACAACCAATCAAACCACGTCGTTAAAATACATGTCGCCACATCCAGTCATACTCTGTCTGATGACCGTGCATCTTGACAATATCTCTGCATTGTTGTTTCCATTGCAAATGGATTCATCGTAAGGTTGTCATATCGAAAACACACCATTAGTTCTTGCAGGGGAGCCTAGAATGCGCGAAATTCAACAAACAAACTTCTTACAAGCTCTCCATAATTCCTCTAGTGTACGAGAACGATGGTTTCTCAGCAACTGTTTCAACAGTTCGAGTTCGAGAAATGCTAACTGCTGCATCTGATGACTTGGCTAGTATGTCTTTTTATGAAATAGCATATATAAACGTTTCATTCTTCAGCTACTTGAGGTATTAGACAGTTGAATTGACATTTTGTGAAAGAAACTTTTGTATACGTGACTTATGTCACAATTCCAGACGTAATTTTTTCTTTATTATGCAGCATACTGTCATATGGAGAACGTGGACTGCTTTTGCCACTGTCCTTTGTGTTCGTGGATTATAACCTGTTACAAGACGCCACACTTTGCTCAACACGGCTGGGGCAAGAAATGTTTTACGTCTCTTTCTATTGGGTCCTAGTTTCCCAAGTTTGATCCATAATCCTTTATTCTCTAATACCATTAAGTACATGGGATATTCTCGTCATGGAAATTCTAAATCCCAGATATGAGCGCAGCTTTGTGATTTGAATACGGGAATATTTTGCGTCGGAACCCTTTTCAGTTACATACCATTCCCAAAAGAAATCAATTCTAGGGGCATCACAATACCTATGCTACTTTAAACAATGTAAAATCTAGTTCTGATATATTCCATTCCACCTGTATTTCATATCGGCTGCGTTTCTCAATTTGTATATTTAAAGTCGTTATAATATAATGTAACCAACCATCTGTGTACGCATAAATGGCTTGTGAATATCAAAATTACTATGAATAGGATAGTTAAACAAGGCACACTACGAAATAGCCATCTCAAGATTGTTGGTATAATTATGTTACTTTTTTTTATTGTGTCACTAGGGTATTTGTAATGACTGAAAAATATATGAATGTCACCATTCTATAACTAGAAAATTATATTTATTCAAGTATATTCATGAAGCACTTTTCCAAATGTCCATGCAGTTTCTGCCTGTAGTTATGACATTTTCGTTCAAAAGACATATCAAAAGCATAAAACTAGTGCTTGTCATTTTATGAAATTAGCATGGCTTAGTGCTTTGGACTCACAGTCGAATGCTTGTGACTTCAAGGCTGGCCCGCGTCATACTGTTGTGTCCTTGAGCAAGGTAGTTTTCCTTCATTTGTTCCAGTCTACCAAGCTGTATGACTGGGTACCAGCTGTTAGCTGAAGGTTAATTTGCAATGGATTGGCATCCAATACAGGGGGGAATGGGTCATCATTCGTATCCACTTGAAATAATAATTTGAAAGCACTGATTCTATGTGCTTCAAAGCCACGGCAAGGATTTAATTAAGTCATTTAAAAAAGTTATAGGCTACACACTGCAACCTTTGTTCTTAACTCTCAAGCTAACATGTAATTGTTTCTATGTGAACTTCTTGGAAGGTATGACCTATTCAAACAAGCAATACAGAGACATGAACAATAGGTTTGGCTTAAGATTGCGCGCAGAGCATTGATTGATGTATGCAACCTATGCGAGACCTGACTTTCTGTGTTTCACCAGGGTATTTCCACAGTTCTGTCGCTTGAGACGTTTTTATGGTTTTCGGCATATAAGGAATTTCGAACTTCAAGTGATGATTTTAGAACAAATACTATAGTAACTAGCCTATGATTCTTTTGGTTGGTTAGTTCTTAAGGTATTGAACTACAATTTTCTCGAACGTTGAGGGAATAATACAAAACACGTGTGAGACGAGGCTAGATCGTGATGAGATTGTTAACCGATTAGCAAGTTTATTACAGTAGTTGACCAACTCCTGAGTTAGCAAGTTTGCTGGTCGTTTTGGTAGTTATATAAATTTTATGAATATTGAAGTTGTGTTCCAACAAACTACTACTGCTATGAAAAAGTACTGTACATACATAAGAAGTTAGCAAGTATTTCTTTGTTTGTTATAGATTTCGTGCAAAGCTACACGAGGGCTATCTGCGCTAGTCGTCCCTAATTTACCAGTGTAAGACTAGAGGGAAGGCAGCTAGTCATCACCACCCACCGCCAACTTTTGGGCTACTCTTTTACCGACGAAAAGTGGGATTGACCGTCACATTATAATGCCCCCACTGCTGAAAGGGTGAGCATGTTTGATGTGACATAGATTCGAATGTTGGCAAGTAAATGATAAGTGTTGATTCTGAAGTTAATTAGTTCATGAAACACCTTTATCATCAATAATTGGACTGATTTGTGCATTATATTTTTACCGAATAATCCACCCCAAAATTCAAACTAATACGACACTAATGTCAGAAGTTGGATTAATTTGGCACAGATAGTGAACAACTCTCGTGGTACAAAACTCAACTGAAAGATGCTAAGGCAAAAAATAATGAGTATTAAGCTGATTATTCAGAGCAATAGGAAATGTGTCTAATGATCCTCATGTCAGAAATTAGATAAATACAGCCCAAAGACAAAGATATACAGAAAACAGTGGGATTCATTATACCTACGAGAAGGCTTGGTATATTGCAAATGGAAAGATACAACTATGTCCACAGTAACTATAATCAAAAGCATCTATCATCTCCACAACCTTCCAGCATGTTGGATATACAAGATTGTTTAGTGTAAGAGTTATTATTTATTTCATTTAGTGATTTGACATTTGATGATTATTTAGTTCTCATAACAATAGTGTTAAAGTTCATTTTAAAAGCGATAATTATGACAGGTTTAGTTATGTAGCTCTGTACGAGTCGTGCATTGTGTATGCAGTTTAATTTTTGTACTAGGCTTTTGTTATATTATTGGCGTCACGTTACTAGAATTTTCGGTATTTTTCTCGTTGCCTTAAGTGTGTATTGTTACATCATAGCGTCTCGTAGTTTGTAGAAACTTCGAGGCCTCAGTTGGAAAAAAATATTAAGTATATATATATATATATATATAT